CCCGAAGGGCAACGGCGGTGCGGAGAAGAAGAAGGAGCGCACCGCGGGCCAATTCTTCCATATGGGAGACAAGGGGGAGCAAGGAGACGCATCTGCTAAGGCTGGAGCAGAGCTGCACCCCCTGGACTATTGGGTGTTGGACACAGGCGCTGCTTGGACAATGACGCCGCGCAAGGACCTACTGGACGACGTACGCGCTGCACCGATTAATGAGGTGTGCTCTGCCTCTGGACACATGTTGAAGGTGGCTGGTGCGGGACGAGCTGCATTTAAGGGAGCGGATGGCAAGCCGGTGGTGCTGCACGACGTTCTCCTCGTCCCCGACCTGAAGGCCAACCTCATCTCCCTCCGTAAGCTTGGCAAGGCTGGGGTGAACACCAACACGGATGGGGCTCGCACTTATAAGGGGAAGCTGGGCAATCGGGTGCTTTGGGATCTGCACGAGAGCAAGGACGTGTACAGATCTATGTGGCAGCTGCCGGCGCTGGCGTGGCACGGTGGGGGCAGGCTGGAGAGGGGTCTGCATCCCAGGGGGAGTGCAACGCCGTTGGAGGGGTTGGTGTGAAAGTGTCGGCCAGATCTGGGGAGACAGATTGGGCAACTGCACACCGACGTTTGGGGCATGTGGCAATGCCTTTGCTGAAGCAGCTGGAGAAGGATGGAGCCGTTAAGGGCTTAAAGCTGAACGGACAAACCACCCGATGATAACTGTGAAATTTGCCTCCTTTCAAAGTTCACCCGTTTCCCCTTCCATAGTGTGGCTGGCAGGAGCAAAAAGCCGTTGGAGCTGGTCCACATGGACTTGGTGGGGCCGCTGCCGGTGCAAGGGCACAAGGGGGAGCGGTACTTCCTAACCATAGTGGATGACTGGAGCAGGCTAATGTGGGCGTATCCGCTGAAGCAGAAAGATCACGCCGCCTCCACGATTCGGGACGATTGGCTGCCGTTCGTGGAGAAGCAAGCGGAGTGTGTGGTGAAGCGGATTAGGGACAGATCGGGGTGGTGAGTTCCTTGGAGCTGAGATGACGGCCTGGCTCAAGAAGCAGGGCATCCAGAGGGAGCTGACCACGGCTTACACCCCACAGTCTAACGGTGTAGCAGAACGGGCGAACCGGACAATTCTGGAGACAGCTAGGGCGCTGCTCATAGAATCTGGGCTGGGCAACTCCATGTGGCCCCATGCTGTTCGGCACGCTACCGTCGCTAGGAACAGGGTACTCACAAAGGTTGGGGATGACTCGTGGGTGCCGTTGGAGAGGTGGCTTGGGAGGAAGCCGCCGGTGGACATGCTGAGGGTGTTCGGTTGCATGGCAGTCGCCCACGTTCCCCAAGACCTACCGCAGTAAGTTGGGGGCGAGTGCAATCTGGTGTGTGCATTTGGGGCTGGCTGCTGAGAGCAAGGGATGGCTGCTGTGGGAGCCTTCCAAGGGTGTGTTGTTTGACAGCAGGGATGTGAAGTTTGTTGAGGGCATGATGTATGGGAGCTGGGAGAAACAGCCGGAGGCCAGGGTGTCCCAGCAGATGGAGCAGATCACCATGCAGCTGGACCTGACTCCTAGTGTGTGGGAGGAGGGAGAGGAGTCAGCTGCAGAGGGTGGTGATAAAGAGAAGGTGCAGGAGGCACCTGCTGGTGGAGGTGATGGTGTGGAGATTAGCGGGTAGCACTAGTGGAGCTGCTGGATCCGAGGGAGGAGAGCAGCAGCAGGGGAAAACTAAGAAGCCGAAGGGTGTTATTATGAAGGGATGGGAGACACCCGTCTCCAGGCCAGGACGTACCCGTATGGCTACTAAGAAGCTGACTGCAGGAGCTGATGTAGCGGAGCAGCAGCTTGGGACCGAGGAGGCATTGCTGATTCTACCGCATGGCTATGACCCTGGATGAGGAGGATCAACCTGCGTACTGTTTTCTTGCCCTGCACCAGAGGAACCAGCTAGCATGGAGGAGGCATTAGCTGGACCAGATAGGGACAAATGGCTAGCTTCCAGGGATGCTGAGTACCAGAGCCTGCTGGAGAATAAGACTTGGGAACTAGTGGTGCTGCCTGAGGGAAAGAAAGCGGTACAATGCAAGTGGGTGCTAAGGATCAAGACTGACGACAAGGGGCAGGTCACCATCTACAAGAGTAGGTTGGTGGCTAAGGGGTTTATGCAGAAGGAGAAGCGGGACTTCAATGAGATCTTTGCTCCCACTGCCAAACCCCCTACCCTTCGTGTCTTGTTGGCAGATGCAGCCGTTGGTGGGAAGTTCATTATCCAGATGGATATATCAACGGCATTCCTCAATGGGATTTTAGAGGAGGAGGTGTTCATGACGCAGCCACCTGGGTATGAGGATGGTACGGGCAGGGTGTGCAAGCTGAAAAAGTCCATCTACGGCTTGAAGCAGGCGCCACGCTGCTGGTACCAGAAGTTGGCAGCTGTTTTAGAGGAGATGGGATTCAGGACCAGCAGCTGTGATGAGAGCCTCTTTCTCAAGGGGGAGGGGGAGAAGCTGGTGCTGTTTCTGGTCTATGTGGACGACATTCTTCTCTTTAGCAGCAGCATGAAGGAGATCCAGAAGGTGCAGCAGCAGCTGATGGAGAACTTCAAGTGCAAGAACCTTGGGGAGGTAAAGTACTACCTCGGGATGCACGTGGAGAGGGATCTGGATCACAGGTGGTTGAAGCTGCACCAGGAGAAGTTCATCAAGGAGCTTGGGGAGAAGTACGGGATTGAGAATGAGCGCAAGGTTGCAACTCCCCTGCCAGCAGGATTCAAGCTTGTGAAAGCTGCAGAGGATGAAGGGGTTGAAGCCGAGGAGCAGCAGCAATTTCAGTCCTTGGTGGGCAGCCTCTTGTATGCAGCAGTTCACACGAGACCCGACATCTCTTTCTCGGTTGGGCAGCTGGCTAGGGTAGTGCAGAATCCATCAGAGGAGCAGGTGGATGCAGCTGAGCGTGTGGTGAAGTATCTGAACTCTCACCCAAGCATTGGAGTTCAATACTCCGCATCTGCACAGGTGAAGCAGAAAGGGGTTGAGGTGCTGAAAGAGAAGGGGGAGAGGCTTGGAGAAGGCAAGCTTTTTCTCACTTGCTTTACTGATGCTACGTGGGCCTCTGAGAAGGAGGATTCCTCATCTGTGGGAGGATACATCTGCGTAGTTGGGGGAGGACCGGTTAGTTGGAGGTCAAAGAAGCAGACGGAGACAGCACTCTCTTCCGTGGAATCAGAGTACATGGCGATGTTCCATGGGGTGAAGGAGGTGATTTGGCTGAGGAGGCTGTTGGAGGAGATTGGCCAGGAGCAAAAGGTTGCTACGCCGCTGTTTTGTGATAGCAAGGGAGCTCTTGGGATGGCCAGGAACGCTGTGCTTCATGGGCTGAATAAGCACATGCGTATCAAGTGGCACTGGCTGCGTAAGGAGGTGAAGAGGGGGACGGTGAATCCGATCTACATCAAGACTCACCAGCAGCCAGCAGACTTCCTCACCAAGAGGCTTGCGGATGAGCCTCATTGGCGTTGTGTGCGCATGAGTGGAATGAGCATGAACTAGTATGGAATGATGGGGATGCAGCCGGCAGGCTGAGGGGGAGTGTGTTGGGTGCAAATTCACATTGCACGACATCCTGCCGTCTGTTTGTACGAGTATGCGTGTGCGAATGCATTTGCGTGTGAATGGTATGTTTGTGTGTTTGTTTGCTTTCGCAATTTTCGCTTGAAGCATTTGCAGGTACTCGCAAAATGTGCGCTTCGGCATAACATTGTACGCGCTATGAACAGTACAAGCAGAAAGGATGAGCTCGCAAAGGAACCCAAGATGGAAGCTTTGCAGTTCGGCTTACTTGATTGCGCAGATTCAGTTCTATCCAACTCGAAATTGTACTGTTTTGTTCGGTTGACTATAGTGTAGCAGGGCAGGCACTATAGGGGTACAATTTAGGTGAAGGTTGGATGTTGTTTGTCTGTATCTGCATGCTACAGGGCCAGGGGAAACCAGCGGAACCAGCATTTGGCTGGTTGGGCAAAGACAAAACAGGTTCTGTTTTTAGAACCTGAACCTGGTTGTTGTTTTCCCAGGTTGGAAAAACAGAACCAGAGGTTGTTCACCAACCTATCACCTGCTATTTTGTCCAGCCAGGTTGGTTCTGTTGCTTGGAATTATTTGGGATCATCCCTGGTTGTTCCCAGGTTGATTCCCAAGGTCCTTGCTAGCTAGAGCTATTTATTCCTTCTCTGTTTGTACCTGAATATAGTGAAATTGATTCAAGCGAATTCCTTCCTTGCTGGAATTTCTTGTCTACGCGGTGCGACGGCGGAATGCTACCCGAGTCAACGCTAGTACGCTAGCACTCCAACGCTAGGCTAACGCTGTCCGAGCCATAACTTCGTAATGGCAGAACTTTTCGCGAGGCAACTTGGCTTATTTTAAAGCTCTTAGAGTGAGCTTCGATATAGGAATTTCTCAGCTTAATCCGATCGACGGTCTGCACGATACGCTGCGCGACGTTCAAGGTACTCTTGCTGTTTTGACTAAGTCCCTCTTGATTCCTCTCTCTACAAACTCGGACCCGAGGATAGGGGCTGGTCTTGTACCAGGCACCCAAGGACCCTTGGAGGTGACCCCGAGGAGAGGTTTTAAGTGTGATAAAGTCTTAATAGCTTGAGTTTATTAGGCCCTTACACCAACACTTAGTCCCATCCGTATAGCTATGCAATGCACTTAATTTTAGTACCATCCATATGGGTAAGTAACCCAGTTATTCGCTGGTACCATCTGAATGGATAAGGCAGTTACTCATATTACCATCTATATGGGTAAGTAACGAGCATACTCGTGATACCATCAGTATGGGTAAGTAACACAATTACTCGTGGTGTTGTCCGTATAAGTAATCCATTTAATCGTCGTGGGGGGGGCGAATAGCATGGGGCCACATCGAGTTGCCCAGCCCAGATTCTATGAGCAGCGCCCTAGCTGTCTCCAGAATTGTCCGGTTCGCCCGTTCTGCAACACCGTTGGACTATGGGGTGTAAGCCGTAGTCAGCTCCCTCTGGATGCCCTGCTTCTTGAGCCAGGCCGTCATCTCTGCTCCAAGGAACTCACCGCCCCAATCTGTCCTAATCCGCTTCACCACATACTCCGCTGGCTTCTCCACGAATTGCAGCCAATCATCTCGCACTGTGGAGGTTGCGTGGTCCTTCTGTTTTAGCGGATACACCAACATGAGTCTGCTCCAATCATCCACAACAATCAGGAAATACCGCTCCTCCTTGTGCCCTTGCACCGGCAGCAGCCCCACCAAGTCCATGTGAACCAGCTCCAAAGGCTTCTTGCTTTGGCCAGCCACACTATGGAAAGGAAAACGGGTAAACTTTGAGTGCAAACAGATTTCACACTTACCATCCGGTCGCTGTCCATTCAGCTTCAGACCCTTAACGGCTCCATCTATCTCCAACAGCTTCAAAAATGGCATTGCCACATGCCCCAAGCGTCAGTGTGCCGTTGCCCAATCCGTCTCCCCAGATGTGGCCAACACATTCACACCAACCCCTCCAACGGCGTTGCACTCCCCCTGGGATGCAGACCCCTCTCCAGCCTGCCCCCCCACTGTGCCACGCCAACGCCGGCAGCTGCCACAAGGATCTGAACACTTCCTTGCTCTTGTGCAGGTTCCAAAGTATCCGATTGCCCAGCTGCCCCTTGTATGTGCGTGCCCCATTCGTGCTCGTGCTCACCCCACCCTTGGCAAGCTTACGGAGGGAGATGAGGTTGGCCTTGAGTTCAGGAACGAGGAGAACGTCGTGCAGCACCACCAGCTTGCCATCCGCTCCCTTAAACGCAGCTCGTCCCGCACTAGCCACCTTCAGCGCGTGTCCAGAGGCGGAGCACACCTCATTGATCGGTGCAGCGCGTACGTTGTCCAGCAGGTCCTTGCGCGGCGTCATCGTCCAAGCAGCGCCCGTGTCCAACACCCAATAATTCAGGGGGTGCAGCTCTGCTCCAACCTTGGCAGAGGCGTCTCCTAGCTCCCCCTGCTCTCCAATATGGAAGAACTGGCCCGCGGTGCGCTCCTTCTTCTTTTTCGCACCGCCGTTGCTCTTCGGGTTGTTGTCGGACGAATCGGCAACCATGCTTGCGCCGTTTTTCTGGTTCCTCCGCGCGCCGCCATCCTGGTGACGATGCTGGGGGGTCCATCCATCGGATTTCTTATAGCACAAAACCAGGGGTGCCCCTCCTTCTCACAATACCAGCAATTCCCTTTCATTTTGCCACCAGCACACGACTTGCCCCCACGTCCAGATTTCGCACCGCGACCCCAACCGTTACCTCCTTGTTGGTCGTTGGAGTCGTCGTCCTCCATTGCACCGCGCCCGACACCACCAAAGCCACCACCTCTGCCACGTCGGCTCCCTTGCATCCCATAGCCGCTGCTGCCGTCGTCTCCACCCCTCAGTTGGCGGCGATAGAAGTCCTTCTCAAGACTTTTCGTCCGCACCCATTCGAATATCCACGAGCTATGGTTCTGCGGCAGGCTCAATCCGCTTGTGAATTGAAGCACCAATTCCGGCAGCAACAAGAGCATCTTCAAGCACTTGGTCTGCTCCGGGTAGGTGATTCCCGATGTTGCCATCTTCGCGTAGAGGTCGCGCATCTTGTCCATGACAGGTTGCACCGGCTCTCCCTCGCTTAGGCGCAACGCGGACAGCTCCCTCTGCAGCATCAACATTGCGACAACGGACGTCGGGGCGTGCAGCTCCTTCAATACGGTCCACGCCTTCGGACCGCACTCAACCTCCGGCAGCAGATGCATGACGGGGTGACACTGGTTCAGCTCCAAACTCCGCGACATCAACTAGTAGCCAGCCGAGGAGCGCTCGTTCCAATCTTCCTGCAGCGTGGGGTCACTCGATCTAGGCTCCTCCCCAATTATTGGTTTCAGGAATCCAATCTGACGGAAATAAAGTTGCATTCTCCAGGCCCTATCTTCATAGCCCTCACCATTAAACATCTCGATGGTGAAGTTCTTCAGCTCCTCCTTGACGAGCGAGCCCTGGTTTGTTTGCGCTCCTCTTGGCGCTGAAACACGAGAATCTTGGCTGCCGCTACGAACTTGGGCTGAATATTCACCAGCTCCCGTCGTGGTGTTGCCTGCCATATTCACCTACAACGAGGATCACTATAACGCAGCTCTGAAACCAGCTTGTTGGTGTACGGGCCTAACAAACTCAAGCTACTAAGACTTAATCCAACGTAAAACCTCTTGTCGGGGTCACCTCCAAGGGTCCTTGGGTGCCTGGTACAAGACTAGCCCCTATCCTCGGATCCGAGTTTGTAAAGAGAAGGATCAAGAATGACTTAGCCAGAATAGCAAGAGCACCTTGAACGCCGCGCAGCGTCTCTTGTTGACCGTCGATCATATTAAGCTGAGACTTTGCTATATCGAAGCTTGCTCAAAGTGCTTTAAAATGAGCCAAGTTGCCTCGCGAAAAGTTCTGCCATTACGGAGTTATTGTTTGTACAGCGTTTGCCTAGCACTGTGGTGCTAGCATACTAGCGTTGACTCCGGTAGCATTCCGCCATCGCACCGCGTAGAAGGGAAATTCCAGCAAGGAAGGAATTCACTTGAATCAATTTCACTATATTCAGGTACAAGCAGAGAAGGAATAAATAGCTCTAGCTAGCAAGGACCTTGGGACTCAACCTGGGAACAACTAGGGATGATCCCAAATAATTCCAAGCAACAAAACCAACCTGGCTGGACAAAACAGCAGGTGGTAGGTTGGTAAACAACCTGTGGTTCTGTTTTTCCAGCCTGGGAAAACAACAACCAGGTTCAGGTCCTAAAACCAGAACCTGTTTTGTCTTTGCCCAACCAGCCAAATGTTGGTTCCGCTGGTTTTCCCTGGCCCTGTAGCATGCAGATACAGACAAACAACATCCAACCTTCACCTAATTTGCACCCCTATAGTGCCTGCCCTGCTACACTATAGTCAACCAAACAAAACAGTACAATTTCGAGTTGGATAGAACTGAATCTGCGAAATCAAGTAAGCCGAACCGCAAGCTTCCATGTTGGGTTCCTTTGCTCGTCCTTTCTGCTTGTACTGTTCATAGTGCGTACAATGTTGTACCGAAGCGCACAATGCACGAGTCCGTGCAAATGCTTCAAGCCAAAATTGCAACACCAAACAAACAGACCAACATTCCATTCACACCCAAATGCATTTGCAAACGCATACTCGTACAAACAGACGGCAGGATGTCGTGCAATGTGAATTGCACCCAACAATCCGCCCATCCATGTCAACGGGAGTTGTGTGTTGGCCTGGTCCTCGCTTGGGCGGAGCCGACTTCATGGTCGGGTATGCTGGAGGTGCAGCCCAATCGTTGCTCTAGGCAATCAGGTCAACTGGTCTGGACGACCTGCACGAGGGCCATGTTCAAGCCGCCGACGACTGGAGACGGCGGCTGACATCAGCCGTGGTCGACGTGGTGGCACGCCGACCTTGGGAGGGGCGCCAACTTAGGAGGGCGCCTACCTTGCGAGGTCGACCTGGTGGTGCCTACTTGGGCGGCCTGGTTGTCCAGGAGTGGTCGACCTAGACTAGCCGACTTAGATGAAGTCGGCTGGAGGTGGTCGTCGACCTGGGTGGTCGACCGGCACGAGAAGAAGTAGCTGGTCGACGTAGTTGCCTGGTCGACCAGGTTACCCGGGTGATGAGTTTCAGTGGAGAAGCACGACAGTGTTCCATGTGGTTCTGGCAAAGCGGACCTTGGGCTGGTATCCTGAGGTTGACGTGGCTCATCAGGCGGAGACATCGGCCGATCTCGCGTAGTGTACGTTTGGCCAACCAGCTACGAGCACCTGCAAAGGTGGCGCATACGTGTGCACAGCTGTCAGTCGCGAGTAAAATGCTGGATGGCCACCTTGCTGCAGTGCTGGATTGCGGTCGACCTTGCTGTGCTGGATTGCAGTCGACCTTGCTGCGTCTCGAACGCGGTCGACCGTGCTGCGCTGGAGGTCGACCAGCTTGTGCGTTAGACAATTTTGCATCAGATGTTGTCTTGCATGCCAATGCTCTGTGAACCATTGTTGTCAATCATTGCTAGGGAACTCTTGCCAAATTTTCATGTGAATGCGCAAGTAGAGAGTTCAAGCAAACAACTAAGGAACGAAGAGTTTACCCTCATACCCGTGCCTTTTCCGTCAAGCTCCCATTGTACGAGTTATCCCTGCAATCCACCTCTCCATACGACGCACTGGTTCTCATCACTCCAAATCCGAACGGTAGTTTGTGAATGTGCATCGACTACCGGGCACTGAACAAATACCCCATACCTAGTATAGAAGATCTTCTAGACCAACTGCGTAGTGCAACAGTGTTTTCAAAGCTGGACCTACGGTCAAGTTACTGGTAAATCAAGATGGCTGACAACTCGATTTAAAAGATGGCGGTCCGTACTAGATACGGCTACTACGAATCTTGGCTGCCGCTACGATCTTGGGCTGAAGATTCACCAGCTCCCATCAAATTGTTGCCCGCCATAGCTACCTATGACGGGGATCATTATAATGCAGCTCTAATACAAGTTTGTTGGTGTAAGGGCCTAATAAACTCAAGCTATTAAGACCTAATCAAACATAATACCTCTCCGCAGGGTCACCTCAAAGGGTCCTTGGGTGCGTGGTACAAGACCAGCCCCTAACGTCGGGTCGGAGTTTGTAGAGAGAGGGACCAAGAATGACTGAGCCAAAATAACGAGAGTACCTTGTACGTCACGCAACGTATTTTGCAGACCATAGAAATGTAATTCCAGCAAGAACCTTGGGAATCAACATAGGAACAACCAGGGATGATCCCAAATAATTTCAAGCAACAGAACCAACCTGGCTGGACAAAACAGCAGGTGGTAGGCTAGTAAACAACCTCTGGTCCTGTTTTTTCAACCTGGAAAATCAACAACCAGGTTCAGGTCCTAAAAACAGAACCTGTTTTGTCTTTGCCCAACCAGCCAAATGCTGGTAATGCTGGTTCCGCTGGTTTCCCCTGGCCCTGTAGCATGCGACTACAGACAAACAAAATCCAACCTTCACCAAAATGTACCCCTATAGTGCCTGCCCTACTACTCTACAGTACGATTTCGAGTTGGATAGAACTGAATCAGCGCAATCAATTCAACCGAACCGCAAAGCTTCCATCTTCGGTTCCTTTGAGTGTTCGTTCTTTCTGCTGCACTGTTCATAGCGCGTACAATGTTGTGCCGAAGCGCACAATGTGCGAGTACCTGCAAATGCTTCAAGCAAAAATTGCAAAAGCAAACAAACACACCATTCACACAAAAATGCATTTGCACACGCATACTCGTACAAACAGACAGCATGATGTCGTGCAATGTGAATTTGCACCCAACACATACCCCACCCCCCCCAACGTGCCGGCTGCATTCTCATCATTCCATGCTAGTTCATGCTCATTCCACTCATGCGCACACAACGCCAATGAGGCTCATCCACAAGCCTCTTGGTGAGGAAGTCTGTTGGCTGCTGGTGGGTCTTAATGTAGATCGGATTCACCACCCCCCTCTTCATCTCATTTTGCAGCTAGTGCCACTTGATACGTATATGCTTATTGAGCCTATAAAGCACAGCGTTCCTGGCCATCCCAAGAGCCCCCTTGCTATCACAAAAAAGCGGCGGAGCAACCTTCTGCTCCTTGCCAATCTCCTCTAACAGCCTCTTCAGCCAAATCACCTCTTTCACCCCATGGAACATCGCCATTTACTCTGATTCTACGGAAGAGGGTGCCGTCTCCGTCTGCTTCTTTGACCTCCAACTAACAGGTCCTCCCCCAACTATACAGATGCATCCTCCCACGGATGAGGAATCCCCCTTATCAGAGGCCCACGTAGCATCGGTAAAGCAAGTGAGAAAGAGCTTGCCTTCTCCAAGCCGCTCCCTGTTGTTTATAAGCACCTCAACCCCTTTCTGCTTCACCTGTGCAGATACGGAGTATTGAACTCCAATGCTTGGGTGAGAGTTCAGTTACTTCACTACACGATTAGCTGCATCCACCTGCTTCTCTGATGGATTCTGCACCACCCTTGCCAGCTGCCCAACCGAGAAGGAGATGTCTGGCCTCGTGTGAACCGCTGCATACAAGAGGCTGCCCACCAAGGACTGAAATTGCTGCTGCTCCTCAGCTTCAACCCCTTCATCCTCTGCAGCCTTCACAAGCTTGAATTCTGCTGGCAGGGGAGTTGCAACCTTGCACTCATTCACAATTGCATACTTCTCCCCCTGCTATACTATAGTCAACCAAACAAAACAGTACAATTTCGAGTTGGATAGAACTGAATCTGCGCAATCAAGTAAGCCGAACCGCAAAGCTTCCATCTTGGGTTCCTTTGCGAGCTCGTCCTTTCTGTTTGTACTGTTCATAGTGCGTACAATATTGTGCTGAAGCGCACAATGCGGGAGTACTTGCAAATGCTTCAAGCGAGAATTGCGAAAGCAAACAAAGACACGAACATTCCGTTCATACGCAAATACATTCGCACACGCATACTCGTACAAACAGACGGCAGGATGTTGTGCAATGTGAATTTGCACCCAACATGTCCACGATCTCTTATTCTGCGGCAGGTTCAATCCGCTCGTGAATTGAAGCCACGATTCCGGTAGCAGCGAGAGCATCCTCAAGCACTTGGTCTGCTCCAGATAGGTGATTCCCGCGGTCGCCAACTTCGCGTAAAGGTCGCGCATCTTGTCCACGATAGGTTGCACCGGTTCTCCCTCCCTCAGGCGCAACGCGGACAGCTCCCTCTCCAGTATCAATATTGCGACAACGG